AAACTGAAGCTCAAATACTTTGGCCACCAAATGAGAAGGGAGCACTCACTGGAGAAGACCCTGATGCTGGGAAAGATTGAAGGTCAAAGAAGACGGGGACGGCAAAGGATGAGATGGTTAGACAGTGTCATCGATGCAACGGACATGAAATTGAGCAAGCTTCAGAGGACGGCGGAAGACAAGAAGGCCTGCCGTGATCTGGTCCATGGGGTCGCAAAGAGTCGGACTCGACTGTGTGACTGAACAACAACAACTGTGAAAGTGGACATTTTTAAAGACAAGGGCTTGCCTTTTGGCTCCTGTCCTTTGGTAAAGTAACCTTGCACATTGGCTGGAACTCTTTGGAGATCAGCTGTGCTCCATCCAGCCAAGTACAAGCTCAAAGATGCAATTCTTGACAATGGCTTAACTCCACTTTGTGTGTGCCCCTCCCCCCGTAGTTTACTCTGAATTATGTTCTTTTCTTTTGCAGATTTAGAGGCATGGGAATGCTTTATCCAGGAGGAGAAAGGTGCTGGGGGAAAGAGGGAAGCTTTAGTCCTTACCTCCTCTATTGTCACCCTTGAGCTGCTTTCACCCCTGCTGGAGAACATAAATATATGTTCCATACGTTTTCCCAGCACGAGCAATAGCAGTTTGCTTTTTAAAGTGAAAACAACAACAACAACAACAACAACAACAACAACAACAGGGGAGGGAAGTCTTCCTCCACCCCCTCTCCATTCCTCTTCTTCATAAGGTCGTTTTTGATTCTATGTTTGTAATTTTTTTTTAAAGTCATGTAGAACAAACATGGAAGAATAAGGTGTACTTGAGTCCAGTGTCTCTTTTTGAACCATAATGTTTTCTGGGTTCCTATCGGACCAACCAACCGAAGCTGCGGTTTAGCTTGGAGAAGCAAGGATTGAGGGGTGACACGAGAGAGGTGTACAAAATTATGCATGTCATAGAGAAAGTAGAGAAATAAGTCTTTTCCTCTCTATCTCACAACACAAAGAACGCGTGGGCACGCAACGAAATTAATGAGCAGTAGGCTTAGAACAGATAAAAGGAAGTACTTTACCCAAAGGGTGATTAACACGTGGAATTCACTGCCCCAAGAAGTGGTGGCAGCTACAAGCACTGACAGCTTGAAAAGACGGGATTGGATAAACATATGGAGCAGAAGTCCATAAGAACATAAGAAAAGCCAATGTTGGATCAGGCCAATGGCCCATCTAGTCCAACACTCTGTCACACAGTGGCCAAAAATACCAGGTCCAGCAATGGGGCCAGGACACTAGACCATCAGTGGCTATTAGCCATAAAGTATACATGGAACACTATGTTTGGGACAGTGATGCTCTGTGTTCTTGGTGCTTGGGGGGAGCAACAGTGGGAGGGCTTCTGGAGTTCTGTCCCCCACCTGGGTTTTGGCCACTGTGTGTTGGACTGGATGGGCCATTGACCTGATCCAACATGACTTCTCTTATGTTCTTATGAGCCACCTGGGTCCCACAGTTGGGACAGGCCGGTCCATACAAAGGGACAGACCACCAGGACTCTTGGGGCCTCTTGCACTAAACTTTGGCAGAGCACTGAAGCAGAGAAACAGACGCTTATACTTTTGGAACTGGGGTTGTATTTCTGATATAAATCCTGGAAGAAATGTGAGGAGCACATCGGAAGTAGACAAGCAGAGGGCGAGGCTTTTGAGATTGTGCTGCTTTAGCAGAAGATACCTTCATATCCCAGTAATACATTCCTATCCCCACTTCATGCGCTCCAGAGCTGAGTTCTAACACAGAAAACGTATTCCTAGGCTCAAGCATTGGCTCATATTAAGCCTTGGATAATTTCCCCACAAAACAGGGGCAAGCATTGGGGGGCATCTCTGAAATAGAAGCTCAGCTGATCCCTGTTGCAATCGATCGATACTGCAGCATTTAATACAGATGGACAAACACACACAATCCGCCAGGTATGTCTGCAAGGAATATTTACAAAAAAAGCAGCACGACTACAGAACTTGAAAAAGATTTTTTTTAAAAAGAGGTGTTCTGTGTATGCTCTACAGACATCAGGATGAAGTGCTCCAGACGAATTCCTTTAAAAAAAAAAATCCCCGCTGCGAGCGAACAAACTTGTTGGATTTTAGATGTGACATTTATACAGCTTTCCACGGAATAGACTCGGAAGAGTAAAAATAAAAGGCATGTGAGATCAGACGCTTATAAAAATAAACTTTGTAAAGTTCAAATGAGTTCATTTTGACAAGTTAGATCTCTCTTCCATCTGCCCTTCTCGAAGGGAGATTTGCTCAAACTCCATATGAGAAATATCTCTGCCCATGCCTCTCAGATATGGTAGAAACAATTGAGCATGTTTTATCATACTGTTGATGTTACCAGAATATCTGAAATATTTATATTGCCCCAATTTTATCAAATTTGCCAAGTAGAACCAATACATTTTTATCTTTCTCTCCTCCTTGAAGATTGTTGTAATGAAACAACCCTTAAAGTAGCCAGTTTTTGTGATCAGGCATGTCTAATTAACCTTTGAGCCACGGTGGCTCAGAGGTTAAGACGCTGAACTGCAGGCCCGAAGGTTCTTCGAGACCCGAGTGCTGCGTGACAGAGTGAGCTCCTGTCTCTGGCCTCAACTCCTGCAAACTTAGCAGTTCAAAAACAAGAAATTGCAAGTAGATAAATAGGTACCGCTTCGTTGGGAAGGTAACCGTGTTCCGTGCTCCTCCGTGTTTAGTCATGCCAGCCACATGACCACAGAGAAGTCTTCAGACAGCTTGGAACCGGGGGTGAGCCCCTGCCCCCTAGAGTCGGATTTGACTGGCTTTCGAGCAAGTGAAACCCTTTACCTTTTACTTTGTATAATTATACAGAAGTGTATGATTCAGTCTTAATATTTTAACCCAGTATTGTATTTTATGTTTAGTGTATTAGTGCATCTAGTGTATTTAAGATATGGAACCAATACAAATATTTCTTGATGACTTTGATTTGAATTCTGATCTCGGATCATAATAAACTTGACTTGAGATTCTTTGAGATTCCCCCCCACTCCCATTTACATCCAAGTTTAAAACTTCCTCAGCTTCTCAATTGCCATGAAAGGCCCTTGGTGGGGTTGCCATAAGTCGGCTGCAACTTGATGACACTTTACACGCGTGCACACACACAACTTTTCTGCCTTAAAGTATCCCCAGGAGGCACCCTATGTTATTTTGGCTTTGGACCTCTTTCTTTTGGTCATAACAGATGTGTGAATCAAATTCTATTAATTCATTAAGAAAAGATAAGTCATAGCAAGAAGCACTTCTAGACAACCTATTCCAGAGTTTAAAGTTTCAGAGTTCTTAAGACGACATCACAAACTTTCTCTTAAGATCTCCCACTTTGCATTCAGGCAAAAGTATAGATTCACCCTTTAGGACACCCTCAATTGTCCTAAGGGAGCAGTCCTAAGTGGGTCAACTCAGAATCCTACTTAGGTTTCTTCCGTGGGGCAACTCCAAAGAAAGGGCCCAAGAGCCAAGCTCTGGCTCATTCCCTTCCTTCCCTCCCTCTCACAATCTGCCTAAATTCACCGTGAGTCATCTGATCATCAATGGCCCCGATCACATGGGCCGGATATTGCGGGGGGGGGAGGCGTGGCTGTTTGCCCTGGAGCGAACTAGCGCGGGGCAGCTGGATGAAACGTCCCGCCCGACGTCCCGCCAATGTCCCGTGGTTGGGGGGAGGTGCTGCTCATACCTCACTCCTGTGGCGCGGCAAAGAAGCGGCGCCGCGGGGTTTGTGTTGTTTTTTTTAACCCAAGTGTTCGCATGCGCCGTTGGGTGCTTGTGCGCACCCATGGAGACTTGACAAAAAAAAAAGTTTTCGCGACGGGACATGGGCGGGCGCCGGATGCCATGAGCTAACACCGGAAACGTGATCTGACGCCCGCCCTTGCCCCGCGGTTTCCGGAAACTAGTACCTCGGAGGTACTAGTTTTTTACAGCGCATCTTTGGAGTGAAGCCTCGGGTGAGCCACGGGAGCTCTACGCTTCCCAGATGCGACGGTGAGATCGCGCCCGGAAAATCCGCCTATCTTCCGTCTCTCTAGCGTGCCTAATGCTTCGTGTGACCGGGGCCAATGATGTTTCTGCCCTTGCAACTAATTTTATATGCAGGGATGATGGAATCCATTTTTTAAACAAATCCAAGCAGACACGTTTAAAGGGACTGAAATTCAGACAAAAACAAAACTCCGTTCAGATTCCCGAAAAACACATCATTTGGTTTACCAGAATTTGTACAGGAGTAAAGAGCCTAAGACAGATCTCCACAGAAGTCCATTGGACCTATCAAGTACTCATTTTCATGGGGTCCTAAAGGCAGAAAAACTCCCAGCTTGCAATTCTTAGGGGCAATTCATACATCGGATTATATAACAAGCAAATGGAGCGAGATGAATGAGTGAACATGCACCTATCTATAGCTGCTTCCTTTGATATCATACGCGGAATCCGAAATGGCTAAATAATCAGCTCAGTTCATTGTTGCTGATTCTACTGTGTAATATATAAGCAAGGCTTTTTCTTCTTCTTCTTTTTTTTGAAAAAGAGGTGCCAGAATCCTCAAGAGGGAAATGAAGTTCTCCATCTGTATAACTGAAAACTCATGAACTGTTAAACATTTTAAAAAAAATGTCAAAGAGGTTCCAGAACTCCATTCCGGCACAGTCACCCAGAAAAAAAAGGCCATGGATATAAGGTTCTCACAAAATTGTAATATTGCCTTAATTGGAAATTCATACCTCAGACAAGATACCATTTGACAAGAGGGTTTTTTTTTTAGTACAACAGAAATCTTTTTAAGAGATGAAAATGTAGTATTGATACTGCCTGTAGAGGGGTGGGCAGGGAAGTGAACACCAAGGAAATACCTTCTCACAAGAAAAAACGGGTTTCTCTCAAAACGGTCCCTCTCCCACAATCCCCCCCTCACTGATGCACATACCTCCATATAAATATTTGTCTCCTGTCATTACTCTGAGCGGGCTGTTGCTTCGAACGGAGGAAGCTTCATCACCGTCGATGGTGAGAACTGCAAAATTTTCTTTTGCTAAAAACTGGACTTCGTGCCATTGTCCGTCGTTCAGTCCAGTGCCTGGAAGCAAAAGAAGAGAAGTGGTTCAGTTTGGCTCTCCTTGTGTATGTCATTGCACAACACTGTGCTAACATTCCTTTAGAATGGCTCAGTAGGCTCTGTAACATCGGGGAGGGCCGTGGCTCAAAGGTAGAGTATCTGGTTGGCGTCCAGAAGGTCCCAGGTTCAATCCCCAGCGACTCCCAGCAAATAAAATAAAAAGGATTGTTATTGTGAATAAAAGTAATATGTTACTTGGAAGGCCAGTGTCATATAGTGCTTCGAGCTTCAAACTAGGCTTTGGAAGACCCAGGTTCAAATCTTTAGTCTGCCATGGAAGATTACTAGGTGCATGTGGGTTGTTCTGAGGGTAAAATAAAGGAGAGGAGAGTGAGGAGAGATCATCACAACAACCCTGTGAGGTAGGTTAGGCTGACTGAGAAAACAGACTGGCCCAAGGTCAGCCAGCAAATGTTCATGGCAGAGTGGTGATTCAAATCTGGGTCTCTCAGGTACTCTGGTACTCTAATCACTATACCATACTGTCTGTTTCCTACTTGACAAAGACAAAGCTGGTCCAACAATCATATGAAGGAAAGATAAGAAAATAACTTTAAGTCAGACAGACATCATTTATTTCAATGGGATTTGCTCCCATCTCAGTGTGTTTAGGATTGCAGCCCAGTATTTTAGATTTCTAGAAGATTAAGTAACATTATTTGTGTACAAGCAGCATACTATATGTAACTAAAATATCAACAGTTAAGCACTGTATTAACAAAGGAAAAGAGAAGCTGATCAGTAAGAACCCCAGAACTTGTGGTCAGGATATAACAAATAAAGCTTGCATACCAAGGCATTCCCTTCCCTATATCATTTCATATAAAGTGATCCAAAACTACATTGCAAAAAAAACAACAACACCCAATACCAACTATACACTTTCTTGCCCATTTTTAGGACTGTCACACACATTAAAGGAAATATTTCCTCTTAGCTTCCCTATAATCTAACCAACCAACTCTTAGACACGTGGGGTTAGATCCAACCCGCTTTTCTGCTCTTGAGGGAGGAATTAGACTTCCTCTTTGACCACCCACAAAGGCTATGCTGAAAATCATGGAATCTCCATGCACAAAAGCCATGTTGGAGGGGGGCTGCAGTCAGGAAGGTGATTGGGTGACATCGAATGAAACAGCTGGCTGGATCCAACCCACTGTCTCTTGGGGGGCAGGGAATAGGAGGCATTCACAATTCAATGGAAGCAAGAACATAAGTGACCAGGATAAACCAAGATCACATGTGCCTCAGAACAGATTCCCTGCATATCATACACTAGCACTTCATGCAATGAAACCATGATGCCCGCTTCTTCCTTATAATGCCGCATCGGGGGTGGAGGGATAAGAATTGCTGCAGAAAAGTCACAGATTAAAGAGATACTCAACTCTTCCTCCCAATGGCAACAGTTCTCCTGAAGCTTGCTTATCTCTTGTGCAAGTGACAGGCCCCATCTACCCGTTATGAAGTCCTTGGGTTTGCCAGGAAACAATGCAAAGGACTTTATATTCCATATGTGATGGGAGTTTTGTGTTTCCTAGAACCACCCTGACTTTCTGTTTGTGATCAAAGCAGGGAGGGAGTGGTGGCTTGAGTTGCTATTGGTTCCATTGTGAAATTTAGGTATAGCCGTGCAAAGAATGATATTTTAATATGGATACAATTGCGGCTCCACGGGATGGTCAGAGGACCCCAAAACGGCATGTGGCTTCTCCCTGCCTGCTTCGATCTCAAACAGAAGAGAGCTGGTGTGCATCTGGGGGGACCAAAACTCCTATCACACATGTGATACAAAGGTCTTGTGTTGTTCCCAAACACACACACACAAGGGCCTTGTAATGTGTAGATTTTGTCCAAATGGCCTCATCGGATAACTCCAGTAGTGAGTGGCAATACTCCCTCAAAGCTGTGGAGTCTTGTGAGCAAAAATTCTACTTTGTGAGCTACTGGCTCACAAGTTGTGAGCGAGCAATTTGTCTGCTGTATAAATTTAGTTTGCTCTGGAGCCGTCCTCCCTGAGCTAAGACAAAAATGGGTGAACCGGAGGCTAAAAAAAACCATGAGCGAACTCACACTAAGTCAGCTTAGAGGGAACACCGGTGAGCGGATTGTGCAGACTGCCTCAGCATCCTTCTTTTGCTTTCAACCATCAAGAAACTCCGGAGCAAGGAAAACTCAAATTCCAAACATTTTAACTTTGCAAAAATTCTTCTCATCTACACCCAGCGCACTGACTGGGGCTGTGTGTGGACAAAGAGTATTTTAAGTGAACATCTGAAACACGTAAGTAGCTGCACATCCATCCGACACGAATACCTTTTTTCAAGCCTCCCCATGGTAGTCCGTTCATTTTTCTCTTTGCTCTCCCCCCTGCTTTATTCTTTCCGTGCGTTATTTTAGAAAATCTTAAACTTGCTTATTTAAAGTAGGCAACCTTAACCCTCCTGCGAGTCCTAGGAACTCCAGTTTCATGTGCAAATTAGATATGTTAATGAAGCATATTCCATCTTGCTAGAATTTCTTTTAAATGGCATTACTTTAAAATTAGGACTCTCGAGATTGTCACTTTGATTGAACAAGAAGAAACAGATGTTTCTGTTATAAGAGACATGGAGGAAGAAATGGTTTAATGAATGCCATTTTTTCCCTGCAAGATCTTAAAATCCAGTAAGAAATAACGAAAGATGCCATATGCTAATTATTCTTCAAACAACGTTTACGGCAGCTAATTCTCAAACGTCTTCATACCTGATTTTGAGAAATCAAATCAGAATGGAGCAATGCTTGCATCTAATATAAGCATGTGGGAGCCTACTCCCTTTTCTTCCATTTTTCACAATACGAGACCTCATGGGCACTCAATGAAATTGCTAAGCAGTCAGGATATAAAACAGATAAAAGGAAGTACTTCTTCTCGCAAAGAGTGATTAACACATGGAATTCACTGCCACAGGAGGTGGTGGCAGCTACAAGCATGGACGGCTTCAAGAAGGAATTGGATAAACCTATAGAGCCAGATAATGAAACTGAAGCTCAGATACTTTGGCCACCCAATGAGAAGGGAGCACTCACTGGAGAAGACCCTGATGCTGGGAAAGATTGAAGGCCAAAGAAGACGGGGACGGCAAAGGATGAGATGGTTAGACAGTGTCATCGATGCAACGAACATGAAGTTGAGCAAACTTCAGAGGACGGCGGAAGACCGGAAGGCCTGGTGTGATCTAGTTCATGGGGTCGCGAAGAGTCGGACTCGACTGTGCGACTGAACAACAAAATAGAGCAGAGGTCCATCAGTGGCTATTGTACAAGTAACCCCAGAAAGAGTGAAGCGGCTGGGCCAAAGCCGAAAGGACGCTCAGTTGTGGATGTGTCTGATGGTGAAAGGAAAGTCCGATGCTGCAAAGAACAATACTGCATAGGAACCTGGAATGTAAGATCTATGAATCAAGGTAAGCTTGACGTGGTCAAAAATGAGATGGCAAGACTGAACATCGATATCCTAGGAATCAGTGAACTAAAGTGGACAGGAATGGGCGAATTTAACTCAGAAGACCATTATATCTACTACTGTGGCCAGGAATCTCGTAGAAAAAATGGTGTGGCCTTTATAGTCAACAAGAGAGTGCAAAAGGCAGTACTGGGATACAATCTCAAAAATGACAGAATGATTTCTGTCCGATTCCAAGGCAAACCATTCAACATCACAGTAATTCAAGTGTATGCCCCAACCACTGATGCAGAAGAGGCTGAAGTGGACCGGTTCTATGAAGACCTACAACACCTCCTAGAACTAACACCAAAAAATGATGTCCTCATCATCATAGGGGACTGGAATGCTAAAGTAGGAAGTCAAAAGGTAACTGGAATAACAGACAAGTTTGGCCTTGGAAAGCAAAATGAAGCAGGGCAAAGGTTAACAGAGTTTTGTCAAGAGAACACACTGGTCATAGCGAACACCCTTTTCCAACAACCTAAGAGGCGACTCTACACATGGACATCACCAGATGGGCAACACCGAAATCAGATTGACTATATAATTTGCAGTCAAAGATGGAGAAGCTCTATCCAGTCAGTAAAAACAAGACCTGGAGCTGACTGTGGTTCAGATCATGAGCTACTCATTGCAAAATTCAGACTTAAACTGAAGAAAATTGGGAAAACCACGAGGCCATTCAGGTTTGACCTAGATCGCATCCCTGATGAATATACAGTAGAGGTGAAGAATAGATTCAAGGGTCTGGATTTGATAGATAGAGTGCCTGAAGAACTATGGACAGAGGTTCGTGACATCGTACAGGAGGCAGCAATCACCACCATCCCAAAGAAAAAGAAATGTAAGAAAGCAAAGTGGCTTTCTGATGAGGCTTTACAAATAGCAGAGGAAAGAAGGAAAGCGAAAGGCAAAGGCGAAAAGGAAAGATTTACCCAACTGAACGCAGATTTCCAGAGAACAGCAAGGAGAGATAAGGAGGCCTTCCTGAATGAACAGTGCAAAGTAATAGAAGAAAACAATAGAATGGGAAGGACTAGAGATCTCTTCAAGAAAATTGGAGAAATCAAGGGAGCGTTCCATGCAAAGCTGGCCATGATAAAGGACAAAAACGGTAGGGACCTAACAGAAGCAGAAGAGATTAGGAAAAGATGGCAAGAATACACAGAAGAACTATACAAGAAAGACCTCGATGTCCTTGACAACCACGACGGTATAATCACTGACCTCGAGCCAGACATCCTGGAATGTGAAGTTAAATGGGCCTTAGAAAGCATTACTAACAACAAAGCTAGTGGAGGTGATGGTATTCCAGCTGAGCTATTCAAAGTCTTAGAAGATGATGCTGTTAAAGTTCTGCACTCCATTTGCCAGCAAATTTGGAAAACGCAACAGTGGCCACAGGATTGGAAAAGGTCAGTATACATTCCAATCCCAAAGAAGGGCAATGCCAAGGAATGTTCAAACTATC